ATTCTCGTGCGTAGCCCTGGGTTGACCCTGCCTTTCCCTCTGGTTAACGGCCTCAACTATGAGGGAGTTTGGGGCTGGGTGAGTATAGAGATACTCATGGCCTTTAGCTGGCACAAAATATTTGCACTCAGCCCTTTTTGAAATGGGTGGCAGGGAGGAGGGGGTTTGCCATAGGGCATTCATTATTTTAGATATCCCGCTGTGTAGGGGTAAAGACACTCTAGCGGGTACCGTGGAGCAAAGAACTCAAACAGTGAGTTCAACAGCTCCTCGAGTTCCTCTGCCTGGAGCCCCAGGTAAGAGGCGACCCTCTTCAAAAAGCTCCTGATGAGTCTTGGTGTCATCTTGCAGAACTGGGTGAGTGGGACTCGTAATCGCTTTGTCCAGTGATGAGGAGGAGGAAGCCAGCGCCGAGGAAGTCATCCCCTGGTAGTCCAACTGGCTGCTCTCCTAGCTCCTCGTGGGCCTGGGAGGTCTTCCCCTGTGGGGCCTCCACCTCCGGAGGAGGGTGGGATGCTGCGGCTGATGGCCTGAGGCCCCTGCCACCAATTGGGCTGCCTGGGAAGGCTGGGTGAACCTCCATGGATTCCAGGGTACCAAGCTGCCGGCCATTGGCCCGGCGGCCACGGGGTCGGTGGCGGTGCTGATGAGGTCGACGGTACCACTGGTGCCGGGGACTATCATGCTACCAGGGACTCCTGATCAGCACCGGAGTCATAAGCGGAACGGATGCTGCAGAGTGACCATGACCGGCTGGCCGGGCAGCCCTCCACACAGCGGTGCTGGCCACTGTGCCTCGACACCGACCTGTCCGTTTGGGATAAGTTCCTCCCGCGGGACCCCGGGGATCTTCGGCGTTTGGCGGATCTGCGTCGGTAGACTGGAGATCTATGCCTCAAACTGCTTGACCTGTACCGGGATCTAGAGTGGGACTGGGAGTTGGAGCGGGCTGGTCGTCGACAGAATCGCCCCGATTGAGGGGATTCGCATCTTGGCGATGGGTGCCGTTGGGCATGTGACTGGTGACCCCGTTCCGCCAATAGATCGCAGGACCAGTGCCAAGACGTTGGAGACCCAATGGATCGGTCTCGATGCTCATGCTGGGGGGCACGTGCCTCCGCAGGCCTGCGCTAGATTACCGGCGAGCCGCTGTAGGTGCCCAGGGTCCGGAGATCAATGAGGGCTTCTCTGAGCTTGCCTCCCAAAGTCCGAGGCATGACAGCTCCATGCAGCCGAGCGCTGACGGGATGTCCCCAACGCTGGGGAGAGGCAGTGCTGAGGTGGGGACATTCGGAATGGTCCCAAGATGGGTTAACCCCTGGTCTTGGGTAGCACCGGAGCCAGTGTGGGCGGCACCAGTAGCGTCAGGATCTCCTGCACTGCTTGCAGGGCTTTGGGCATCGATGGGACTTCGAATTGACAGAGGCCCTCATCACTGTCTGATGTAGCAGGCATAGTACAGGAGGTGCTCAACCACTCAACATGAGCTGGGGCCCCACTCCCTGACGAAGGTGTTGAGCTGCCCAGCACAGGTCTTGGCTCTCCTCTGGCCCCTTCCTTTCCCTACGGGAAATGGGAGATGTTCCCATTGTGGACCTCTTGGGCTTCTTGGCCAGGGCTGGGGATCAGTGCCAGCTCGTAGACGGCACCGGCGGGGCGCTCTGTACCAACACTGCTGTGCTCGGGGCTGAGTTGGACCTCTGCTCCGGTGCCAGGGTCAGTGCCGACTCCATCAGGAGTGCCCTGAGATGGATGTCTCTCTCCTTTTTCGTTCTGGGTTTGAACAACTTACAGATGGGACACTTGTCGCTTATGTGTCCTTCTCCTACATACCTTAAGCAGCTAACGTGTGGGTCGCTGATGGGCATGGGCCGCTTACAATGATCACATGGTTTAGAGCCTGGGGATTGGGGCATGCCCCATCCCTAGGCTGAGTCCCATCTGGGACCAACTAACTAGAACTAATACTAAGCTAAACTATATACAACTATTTTTACAAAAAAACGTTTGTGAGACACACTGAATTAAGCGAAAGCTAGCTGAAGCAGCAGAAGTTCCAGCACCATCACTGGTGGAAAGAAGGAACTGAGGGTGGGGGGAGCTGGCAGCACCCCTTATACCATGCCATGAGCTGATCTGAGCTGGTCCCCTACGAATACTGCTAAGGGAAAAACTTCCATCACTGGTGCATGTGCATGTGGTGAGCACACACACCTAATATGGAACGGACATGAGCAAGCACTTGAAGAAGAAAGTATGGTTTCTAATTCTTTAATCATTGTTGTAGCTCTTCTCTGAACCTTCTCCAATTTATCAACATGCTTCTTAAATGATGGACACCAGAACTAGACACAGTATTCCAGCAGCGGTCGCAACAGTGTCAAAATAACCTCTCTAATCCTATTTTATAATAACCTGTTTATGCATCTAAGGATTGTATTAGCCCTTTTGGCCACAGCTTGGCACTGAGACTTCCTGTTCGGCTGATTAGCCATCATGACCCCCAAATCTTTTTCAGAGTCACTGCTTTTCAAGATAGAGTTCCCCATCCTCTAAGCATGGCCTACTTTCTTTATTCCAACTGTGTACATTTAAACTTAGACATATTAAAACACATTGTTTGCTTGCACCCAGCTTAAGTGATCCAGATTTTTTTTTTTTTTAACCATTCACCCAATTTTTCTGTCATCTGAAAATGTTTTCTTTCAGGTCATTGACAAAATGTTGAATAGCGTAAGGCCAAGAACAAATCCCTGCAGGACCCCACTAGAAACCACACCCTTTCAATGATTCCTCATTTACAGCTACATTTTGAGATTATCAATTAGCCAGCTTTTAATCCATTTGATGTGTGCCATGTTGATTTTATATCATTTTAGTTTTTTAATCAAAATGTCACGAGGTACCAAGTCAAACACCTTACAGAAGTCTAAGTATATTATATCAACACTATTACCTTCATCAATCAAACTTGTAATCTCATGTAAAAAAAAAAGATATTATGTTAGTTTGACAGGATCTATTTCCCTAAATTCATGTTGACTGGCATAAATTACATTACCTTCCATTAATTTTTTTAATTAATCAAGTCACATATCAACCACTCCATTATCTTGTTCAGGATCAAAGTCAGACTGTCAGACCTATAATTACCTGGGTCATTCTGTTTACCGTTTCTAAATATTGGCACAACATTAGCTTTCTTAAAGTCTTCTGAACTTCCCCAGAACACCAAGACTTACTGAAAAATCAGCATTAACATCTAAACACATTAAATATTTTGAACACATCCATTTTCTCTTGTTTACTCATATCCTTTATTCCAATTTGATACTTGGTCCATTCCTCACCTTACCTGTGGTTTAAACTTTCCTCTACCCTACCATAGGCATCTCAATGAATAAGCCTTCATGTAATGCAATGGCATCATCACATTGTAATAATACTGAACGCTTTAACCCGTAGAAAAAAGTGATGTATGCAGAGGGGGAAGCTGGCCCCATGAAATAGCATTGTGGGATTAGATACCAACATGACAAATGATTAAGGAAAACCTTAGATCTGGTTTTATAGATACTAGTATCTCTAGATTCTGTGTAGGACCAGTTGCATCATCTATAAAATGTAATTAATATTTTGTAACTCAGTACAGCATAGCTGATTATCTGCACACTGTTATAAAAAGGTTATCAGTAAGAGGGTTATAGTAGTTCTTGTAATACTTAAATAGATGACATGCAGCAGTTAAGAGAAACCTCCCTACTTGCAATAGAAATTACTGTTGAATTAAGAAACTGAACTGATTATTCAGACAGTGCCTATATAGATGTTAGTGCATTAATGTATTTCATGTCTGTTGATAAAAAGGAATACAAGCAAAGTTCATATGCAGATTTATGAAAAATAAATTTATTACATAACACCTTGTTTTTAACAATGTTCATTTTTTTATTCAGAATACTTGCGTCATTCATGTAAAATAGTTTGATACAGTACATTGTATGTTATAGTTTTTCCTCAAATTCTAAGGCTCTCCTAACACCTCATCCTTTGCTGTAATAAGGGCATCCCTAATAACGTGCGAAAATATTTTAAAAATAATTAACTGAACAAAATTTAAAATCCACTACACCAATCCATCTCTCAAAAATCATGACGAAATATCTGAATGGATGCCGCACCTTTTAAGGAAATATCATTCATGCTTTTTTAATCCCAAAGCATGCTCACAAATCAGCAACACTAATAGGAAAAATAAAACACTGTCTATGACAATCATTTCAGTTTGTTTGCTGAACCAAACATGTTTATATCAATGACAACATACTTATTTTACTATCGAATAGCAGCTTTAATACCAGTCAAGTCATAGATTTAAAAACAAAAACAAATCTATATGTTGGAAATTAATCTTTGGGAGGCTTGTAATCTGCTGGAAAAATGCAAATGTTTTCATTTTCTTAAAAAATCTTATTGTAGCAATTTTGTTGGTCATAAAACATTGATCAATGTGGAAAATGAACCAACTCACAAAAGTCACTAAAAATAAATGTATATCAAAATTATCTCAATTAGAGTCATGGTTATTTTGCTTTTTTGCCATGTTAACATATACTGTATGCTTCAAGTACCAGTTAAAGGATTTTGTGTACTATTGGTCAGATAATGTTGTTACATCAAGAGAATTCACCACATACAATAAAAAAAATGCTTGCCCCTAGCACATTTCACAGCTTCAACTGCTACAGACTGTCACTGAAAAAAATGCATTGGTCAGTCTGAACCATGTCAAGTAAACTATGGAAGTAGCATATCCACAACACAAACTGTGCTAGCACTTTCTTTTCAAGTCTAACCCAAAACCAGGTACAATTTGGGAGCCACTACTCCATTCTGTGAAAAGTGGTGGAACGTGGCTATCAGACATTTTGAAGGTGTGGTTGTACAGTACATTCTTGTGGCCCAAGCCAGGTTCCAGGCAGACAGCTGCATGTCCTACAGCATTAGCAACAGTGCATTGACGTTATTCAGGTGCAGCTCAGTACCGGTGTGTCTGATGTGAGTACTGTGGAGGCTGCTGGGAGGTAGTTGAATATCCCATGCTGCTCTGTGGCTGTGATGTGCTTGGTCCAGGGTTGGGATAAGCAGCATGGGGATTGGAACGCTGGAAACCATGAAGGAGAAGAGAATTGATTCCTACAGTGGATGCATTTATAATACAAATACAATACCCATTAATTTTTTGAGGTCTCTGTGCTGTGTGGGGCAATAATTAACAGGGACTACAGCACAGTATATCAATCACTTGTATTTACAGTGTTCTACTTATTTTCATTACAGTAACTAAGCATATGAACAACAGGAATATTTGATTGAGAGCTAGTAACAAGTAATGTTGTTTGTTACCCATTCTGAACTGTTCCTTCTGAATTCATATCTGTCATGTCACCAATGCCACTTCAACTATCCAGACATCTTATGCTTACCACTGTGGTACATCAGTGTGTTTAAAAAAAAACTTACAGCCAAAAATATCCTAGGTGCTCTCCATTGGGGTTTTCTTCCCCCTCCAAGAGCACATATTTGGAAGGTTTGTGGTGTATTTAATATCAATGATAATTCAAGGAAATTTCTCTAGGAGACCTTTGCATATGAGATTAATTTTGGTTTACTGGAGCATTCACTATAAGGTAGGTGTTTTCTAGACAGTCAAGAAGAGATAGTCCCTGCCCCAAAGAGCTCACAAAGAAGCCAAAATCTTGTACCCGTATAACCTGCCCAGGACCAAATGTGGGATACAAAAAAAAAAAAAATGAGAGACGTATTTGTTTAATTGTTACAGTTTAAAAAGCTGTAATTGATGTGAGATTTATTTCTTTAGCTTAAACACTTAAACTCTTCCTTTTCATGAGTCTTCATTTAGATCAGAAGTTAAGTTAGATTCAATAAATGTGTTGAGATGGCTACATATTGGGGAAATAAAAATAAAGGGATGACCTTTATAAAGCAAGGTAGGTGGCTACTCTTCACACATGCATTTAAGGGACTGAATCACTCTCTAGGTGTGTGATGTGGAGGGGAAAAGAAATCGTTCTAACAGTACTTCCAGCCAGCAGGAATACATTAGCATTGCTGTACATCATAGCTCACATGATGGCTGAGCTGTTACGACATTTATCTTCACTCTTGAGAGACACACTACGCACTTACTGAGACGTGTCAGAGTAACAGATCAGCCATCATATGATCCAGTTCTGTATAATAAATAAAGGGTATGTTTAATGGTGCAAAAATCTCTGGGTGTACTTTTTGGTAACATGTGCCTCAAGTATGCAGGAAACTGAAAAAAACTTTGAAGTTTAAAATTAGCCATTAATGTTTTATTTGTAATATAGTTAACAGGCTTCCACAACCTGACTACTGAAAAATGTTGCTTATTTATTTTATGTGGCCAATTACAAGATGACTCAGTGCATTCACATCATGTAGAGCAACAAGTGACTTTTAAAAATAAAAGTTAAAATCCCAAACAACCCAGCCCGCTCTACCTCCAAACACCACTAACCCTCTCTTCATAAGACAAAAGCTTGTTACATCCTCCGGGGACAGGACTGCTTCAATTCATTTCAGTGTTGTCACATTAAATGTTCAAGTTGAAACGTCTGAAACCAAGGGACATGGAAGTCTATATACCTGTAAAAATCCTTACCTAATTGCTTTTATGCATGACAGAAAAGGTTGCATAGGGGGAGAATTTATAGGCCAGCTTGCTTCAGGGAGATTAAACAAAGGATCTAGCTGCTGAGGGGATGTCTTAGTAAACCTCCTCAAGGGATGGTTATTTCCCTCAGAGGGCTCAGATGTAACAGTATGAGAGAACCAAGGGACAGGTGTTTGGACAAAACAATGGTGTATTTTAAATTTTTCTCCTTCCTCCTTGGGTTGAAGAATCTTAGGGGGAGATTCAGAGAGATGTGTCCCCATCAGTAGGTGGCATCTAATTGCTTTGGCCTCAGTGCTGTCAAGCTCATGTGGGTTCCTTCCATCTGCCTTATTTACTATATGTAAACTCATGAGTGCAATACCATCCTTGCCTTCTTAAAAGTCTGGGGGAAATAGACTGAATTTCTTAAAGTCAAACATTATGCCTTTCAAAGGCATGGCAAAAAGGTGAGCAGTCAGGAGGAGCCAAAGCACTTGCAAGAGCTGCTGAGACAGTGAAGGGGCAGTTACCACTACTCCATGCAAAAATAGCCCTATATGGCCCTTGTTGAAAAACACTGCCGCCTCAGGCAGTAAGCCTGGGAGGGATGTTAGTGGAGTGAGAAAGCTGAGGAAGGACCACAGCTTTCCTCAACCTAGATGAGGGTGACAGGTGGACTCCCTAAGCAATCCCTGCGTACACGGAGGGTGATTCAGAGCTCCCTGATTTCCCAGCTTGTAGACTTCAATCCATGCTCACAGGAGAGGTAGCTTGGGTTTGCTCTGATTCCCATGCTCTCAGGTCAGCTGCCACTGTGAAGTGGGGTGAATAGCATGTGAATAGTGCAAGCAAGTGGAGATCCCCTGCCCCAACACACAAGCCCTACACCTCTTTTCCTTAGCTATGTCAGTCAGCATGGAAGAGAGACAAGAGGTTCTGCTGCATCTGCCTTCTTCAGAGACTCAGTCAGAAAGGAGTCAGCAGAAATGATGCCAAAACAATCTCTGGACAGCAACTGACTTAGCTGCCTGCAGGTTTAAGAGGGATCAACCCTCGTGTTGGAAAATATTTTGTAAATGCACACTCCACTGAGGGAGAGACTATTATAGTTACATTCTGAGGCAGCCCTTGCTGCACAGTGCTTAAGGTTGAACAGAGCTTTCTGTTTAGAACTGATTATTCAAAGTGCTTTAAAACCCACATGCATAGTGAAATGGACCTGAAAATTGATACACTAGCTGAAGTCCTGGGGTAGAGTTAGTGAAGAAAATTTGGGGTCATTTGGCTATGGAGCTCATGACATGCAGCTCCTGCAAAATGACCTGCCTTTATGTTTTTAGGTTTATACCTTTATGTGTGCAGAGCCAGGGGAAAAACTATAGGCTTTATGAGGATCAGGGCCATACCACTGGGCTACCTGAGTGCATCTAGTCAATGATCCCAAGAACCAGTTTTAAAAGTCAATTATTTCAAAGTTATTGGACTTTCATTCTTGTTTTATGAAGTAGTACATAGGGGGTATGGCAAGCAAACTGACAGCAGCTATCTTACAGAGACAGAGGATCTAACTTCTCACTTGAGGAAAGTGTTGTTATATCTTTCACAATATAAACATGCTTTAGTCCCTCATTTTGAAAAACCCACCATTGACCCCACTGGCCTCTCCAACTAACCACCCATCTCCCTTTCCCTGTCTACAATCACTGTCTGGAGTTCCTCTGCACCTATTCCATCTTAAACCCCTTCCAATTCAGCTTCTGCCTCTAGGGGCTGGTCCACACTAACCCTCCACTTCGAACTAAGATACGCAACTTCAGCTACGTTATTCAAGTAGCTGAAGTCGAACTATCTTAGTTCGAACTTACCGCGGGTCCACACGCAGCAGGCAGGCTCCCCCGTCGACTCCGCGTACCCCTCTCGTGGAGCAGGAGTACCGGCGTCGACGGCGAGCACTTCCGGGATCGATCCGGGATCAATTTATCGCGTCTAGACAAGACACGATAAATCGATCCCAGAAGATCGATTGCTTACCGCCAGACCCGGAGGTAAGTATAGACGTACCCTTGCAGTCCACTGAAACTAGACTCTCCAAGTCTCTAATGACCTATTCTCTAGGCAAAACTCAAAATCAGTACTCCATCCTGGTCAGCCATCTGTGACACTGTTGAGCATGCTCTTTTTCTTGAAATCTTGTCCTCACTTGGCATCCATGACTCTGTCCTCTCCTATTTCTCTAATGGCTCCTTCAGCATGTCCTTTGAAAAATCCTCTACATCTTCCCTCCAACTTTCTGTAGCTGTTCCACCACTCCAAAGATTCTCACCTTGGTCCCTTTCTCTTCTCCCTCTATGTCTTATCTCTGGGTAATCTCATCCACAAACACAAATCCAACCACCATCTCTACACTGATGACTCACAGATCTACCTCTCTACTTCAGAAAGGTCTACTTTTGTCCAAATTAAAATCTCTGTCTATTGCTGGACTTCAACTCAGCTCAACATGGCTAAAACAGAGCTCTTAATCTTCCCCCGCAAGCCCTGCGTGTTACCTCGTTTGTCAATCACTGTGGACAACACCACCATCCATCCTGCCTATGACTCAGACCCATAATCAGGGCATCAGCTTTGACTATGACCTCTCTCTAGGTCCTCACCTATGTCTAAATCTAGCCAATTTTTCTGCATTGCTTCTCTAAGGTATGGCCTTTTTTTAATCCATCCACACAGCTAAAACTCACTTCCAGGCTCTCATCTCACATCTCAACTACTGCAATGTCCTTTTCTCCAGCAAATGCAACTTTGCCCAAGTCGTATCCAGAATGCTGCTTCAAATCATTTTCCTAGCCTGTCACTTTGACCACATCATCCCACCCCCCCTTTGCATCCCTCCACTGGCTCCCTCTTCTCTATCACAAAACAAACTGCTTTTCTTTACTTTCAAGGCTCTTCACTGCCCATCCCACCCTAGCTATCATCTGTTGTTCACTATTGAAATGTCAGCTCCTGCCTCCCTAGCCCGCTTGTTAAATTTTCAAACATACACCTTCATATTTCCTCCCATGCTGCCCCATATTATCTTTCTTCAAACCCTCCTTGAAACTCTTCTTTTCCAACTTGACAAGAGTTAGGACGCTCTTGTCCAGAGACCACTCCCTATATCATGCTAACCAATATTGTCTCATTATTTTCTTATATTCCCTGATCTGTCTGTATCCATCTGTTGTCTCTTGTTTTATAATTGGCTCCCTGAACCAGGGACCATCCTTTTGTTCTGTGTTTGCACCGTGCCTACCACAATGGGGTCCTGCTCCGTGACTAGGGCTTCTAGGTACTAAGGTAATACTAATAAAGAATAAATAATAATAAATAATAATCACAAGTTATTGTTTCCTTGCCACTCCTAACTTGACTCGCGTCAGAAGTTGAAGTTGCAGGATTGATAGTTAGGAAAAAAAAAAATCTTATTTTTTTAAATTGAGTGCACTTGATCTGAAAGAAGCTGAGATACAATAAATACGGAACCCCACCATGCCATTATACAAAATCATTTTTAGAGTAGAGTTGCACTATAAGTAGTTTCTTCTAAGTTACAATACACAAGAGCCAAATATAGAATATATGGAAAATTGAAGTTGAGATACCTGATAGTCTGAGGTCATGATAAGTCCACCTGAGGTAGTGGTAGGAGGAACAACTCTCACTTTTTTCAATGGGGGTCCCTGTGTATGACTGTTGTCTTGGTTCCCTGGATGACCAGTTCCATTAGTATGGTTATTGCCCTGCTGCTGCTGCTGGTTCTTCTCAATTGGTTAAACACAAAGAAAAATTTCAACTCAGAAGCAGTACAAGAGCAGCAAATGTGAAATACTGAGGTAAAGCTCAATGAGACAAGACAACACTGTATTTTAATACTTACTTTGTCTCCTTTATCATCGGGTTCTTCTTCTGTTAAAAATTCTCGTTTTGGGTAAGGGATCTGACAACCTGCAAAAACACTGCAAAAACAAATTAGCAGTCTTTGTATATCTGCCTAGAATCAGCGAGGTTAGTCGTAGATGAAGATCTAGTATTTTGTCCTGTCTAGTTTCAAATTTCCTGAGCCACAGCCTAATATATCTGTCAAGTAGTTTACCCCTTCTTAATAACATCATTTACTTAGCCTGGGTATTCACATGTATTTGTTTTAACCTTTTGGTCATTTTTATTCTTCTCCTTCCAACTCCCACCAATTTGTCTGTTTCTGGGTAATATGGTGACCAGACTGGAGTTGGAGAGATGGAAGAGTCCTGTTAGATACCAGAGTCAATTCCTCTATAAGTGCACAATGTAGGTCTCTTCATCCAGTTATACAGAAATTCATAAAATGTTGAACTAAATAAAGGTCATCAATAATTGTGGTCCAGATGGTTAAAAACTCCATTACCAAATAAAAAAACATTAACTGTGACAAGACCTGGAAGCTTTTGGAGGTATGTGGTCTCTCACCTTAGACTCATGGACATACATGAATGAATTTGTTACTGCTAACCCAAGCTAAGATTTCTCCACTCGTAATCATATGGATATACCTTTATTTATAACTAGCCTCTGTACCTGCGAACATGCTATTAATTTTGTATTAAAATGCTGCCAATGTAAGGTTGAGGGAAAAGAATATTGACCTAAGAGCAGTTTCTGCAAAACCAAACCACTTGCATGACAGCACTAGAATATAAAGACAGGTCAGGAGCCGTTATAAATATTTCACTAAGCTGAGTTGAATTAATTTCATTTTAATTAACTGTTATAAATATACATAACACATTTTATAAATTCTTCCCTTAATAATGAAAAAAAGGAATGATATGCAGCATGTGAACTGGCCTTTCTAAAACAAGGCCACTCAAGCACTGGCAGGCCATCTTAGGATGCTTTATCATAGACTGTTCACACTTTTTGTCTGTAAGCTTTCTTATGTTTAGAATCTCCCTGTGCAGTTGAAAAGAAAGTGTGTCTACAGAAAATGGATTTAGGCTGTGAAGTATGAAAGTACAGAGAGCCTGTACTATTTCCCTCCCCTCCATCCCCTGAATTTACAACAAAGGGTAAGATGGAAAAATGTAAACTAATTAGTAAATGTCATCAGCATTCTAGAACAGAGAACTGGACCTGCAGGCACTTAGCAGTTGTCCACAAAGATCTGTAGCATGCATAATCAACCTGTCAGTGAATAACAGGATTAGTGCTGTGACTAACAGGATCAAAGTTTCATAAAGCAAGAGATTAATAGGAATGCTACTTAATTTTAAAAACCTCAAATGGCATTTTAGTTAGTATAGCTTTTTCTTTGCTTGTCAGACAGTAAGTATTTAATTCATTATTCACACACACAGGTATGTATTTATAGTAAGCAGTAAACAAAGAGCATACATTAAAAAATATCTGAATATGCTAATGGATTAATAAACTGACCACTTACTCAGATGTGGGAAGTGGATCTTCTAAGAAATAAGGATCCTGCATAGCCTGTTCTGAGGTAATTCTCTTTATTGGGTCCATAGTAAGCAATTTCTGAAGCTAAGCAGAGTTTTAAAAAAAAGTTCAGTATTATGAAAACTATTAATGAAAGCCTTTGTCCCACTGTATTCTGACATGAAACTGCCACCCATATGATGTAATTTCTAGATCCCAATCACTAATGGCAAATATGAACCATATTTTCCCCTCATGTTTTAAATATTAATTGAATTTGTTATTGAATAACCACTTGTTTCTACCTATAAAACTTAAAACTCACTCAAATAATTAGCTTTGCCATAAGTGCTCTACCAACAAAATCTTCGAAACTTCCCCCTGCCCCAATAAATCAATATACTGTAGTTTTGCTAGTCTGTCCTTTCTTTGTGAAGAAGCTTTATTTTAAAATTGATTCACACACATTAACTGAGTTTTTATGTCACACTGACATGCACATTTACTTGGAAGAAATGATCTTTCAGGAATTTTCATTTGATTTATAGTCAACCAATATTCTGACCAAGACCCCACATTTACTACAGCCCCGTTATAAGTACTATTTATATAGCACCATTGAATACCCACCACAGAAAGAGGCAATCATAATGTAATGCATGTCTAGATGGGATAGGAAACTCCACCTGCCCAAGTAACTCACAAATAGTGGGATCCAATGTGCATGTACTAATTATGAGGATAGTAGACTCACTGTATTTTAAATGTCTGAATGGCATTCAGAGGAGGGAGATGAGCAAAATCTTAGATCTTACTTTATTTATTGATCTCAAACCATAAGTGAAATCAATGGAAAGGCTCCAGCAGGTACAAAATGCACTGTCTGCCTCCTCCATGAGCACATCAAGCCTGTGCTCTAGTCCCTCCGCTGGGTGTGAGTCCACTTCCATAGCCAGTTGAAGGTCACTGTCTTAATCTTCATACTAACTAACAGATCGGGTATCAGCTGCATTACAGACCATATTTCATATTTCATCCAATGCCACCAAGAAAGTGATGCTCCTCTGGGACAATGCAGATCACAAAGCATGAGAGCACCAAGGACAAAGCAAAGTATAAGAATATTTCCAGAGGAAATCAGAGAAATTTAACCTGACCACTTTCAGGAAATACTACAAAACCTTCCCCTTTTATATAGTTTTTCCATCATAACCAGAATAACTTTAAAAACTAACCCACTTATCTCCTTCTCTTTCCCTTTCCCCCCAGTCAAAATAGCCCTAACCCAAGGAGAGCTTTCTATAACCAGAAAAGATAGTAGAGCAAGTGTCTCCAAGAAGCCCTCTACGGATTTTGCTATTGTCAATCTATTTTACGTGGAAGGCATTCAGATACTTACATAATGGGTAGCAGTACAAAATCCTAAACAGTATATATTGAGGGGAGGGGGAAAAACAAGACTGTCCTAATCACAGTGAAATAAAGTTATGTGCTCTGAGGGAATGATTAGCCAGCAGGCAGAAACTGGTCTTAAAGATGACTGTTACATAATCTCAAATGTATAGGAAGAGATACAGAAACTCTTTAGGTGTAAATTCAGTCCAAGTTGGAATAACTGATCTAACCTTAAAATATCCAAGTGTGGTACTGCTCTTAAACTCAATCAGCTTGATTTTATGAGAGGAACACAGTAATGTTGCAGAAGCTGTCTGGGCATTAATACTGCATTCATCACTATGGCATCCTCAGCCCATTTCAAATTCGGAAGTGAACACATTAGGGCCCTGTTGACACAGGGATGTTACATCGCATTAGTTTGTTCGCTGTGAGTGCAACAATTTAACTACATCAAACTGAAGTGCATCCACACCACTTTGTCATGTCAGTCTAAGGTGCCTCTATCTGTTATTCATTATATCCACACAGCTCTGCACTATTTGCTCAGTATTCTGGGTAGATATCCCATGGTGCACTGTTCCACCACAAAGATCCATGCTATGTGATTTTTCTTGTTGTGGATGCCTCTTCAGCAGGATGATTTTTCAGTAGGTGGATGCCTACTGGAAAATGCAGGAAATTTGGGGGTGGGTCAAATTAATAAAACTCCCTGTATTTCTCTGCTGGCATCCATTAATTTTGTCAGTGCTATTTTTGAATTGCTGTCAGGCAGCATGGAGGACACACTGCTGAGCAGGGTAGATAAAAATTCATGATTTAAAAAAAAAAAAATCAGATTTTTTTTTTTTATTTAAATCGTTTTTTTTTATAAAGATAGTTTTAATTAAGATACCTTATAGCTCAAAGATATCTCATCATGGAATAGGGATTATAAATTCAAATTCTATAGTCTGAGACAATATATTCATGTAATGTTTAAGAAAAGTTTTTGTAAATTAGTTCCAATAGTTCACGGATTAGGGGCCCAATCTTATGGGGTTCCATGGGCTTCTGTATAGATTATTTAGGTTAATCTTTCTATCTACCCAATGGGACTCAGTACTCAGTCTAGAAGATACCACCAGAGATGCTTAGTTTTGCAGTTCTCAAACTGTGGATTTGTGTCTCCAGAAATAACATGTTTGTTAACAGCAAAAATGTTTTAAATAAATAATATATAGAGGTGAGAAATAACAGACCTCAACCCTATTGTCCCTCTGCAAATTTGTGTACATAGAGTCAATTCCTTACCTCTCGGTAAAAGTGCAAAGTTTCAAAAAGTTCAATGAATAGAAGATTGTTGGGGGCGGAATAGATCTGGACAAGGAGATGAAGTCTGGAGATAAATGTGAGAAGGGAGGGACAGGCAGTAAAAACAAAAGCGAAACTGTTTGAGCAGCATATTCCAGAAGTCTTGAGGTCTTTCTGAGTGTAGCCTTCATTGATTTGAGATCTACCATACCATTCTCTCACTAGAAGGGAAAACCATTAATGGCAGCAGGCCATAAAAGAGACCCAGTTTGGGAATATTTTAATTAAGTTCCTCTACCTCTGGATAAGACAGGCATGCGTGCAAAATGCAAACTGCAACAAAGAAATGCAAGGCCTGGTTGCCCAAATGAAACAACATCATGAGAAGTGTTCCTTCTCAGGAAGAAGCTGTGTTGAAGATGATGAAAGAAACATGTCTAAACATGCAGGATCTTTGGGTTGGTAAACTTTATTTCATACTTTTCTTAAGGACTGCCTGTCTTCCTTCTGGACTATTCTTGAATTCTCATGTTTGAGCAAAAAATATAGTTAGTCTATGGTACTATCATTTTAGATGCAGTTGTGATAAAAAATAAATAGCTGAAATAGGCAGATCTTCCTTTTACAATTTCACCTTTAAAGTAGTACTGAGTGTCAGTGAATGCAATGAGTAATACTAAATGAGCAGTATGGTAATCATAATTAAACTGCATTGACTTATTTTTGTTTAGGAGAATGCATCCTCAAAATACAGGATTCTGAAGACTATCCACCTTCAAGATCACCATCATTTTCTATAGTTTCATAGTTATCTGCCAATGATAGTGTTTCAATCACATCATGTATGTCACATAGCTGCAGTATATCACCTGTAGCAAAAAGAAAAAAAAAATCTCCATCATCCAGAAACAGGTATAGATAAGTTTGTGATAAGAACCAGCAGATTACAAAAAGAGGTACTTGATGAAAAAATTGCCCGATTTGTTTATGCAACAAACTCTCCTTTCCGTATGACTGAGAACCCACACTTCATTAACATGGTTCAGTCATTAAGACCAGGATACAGTCCACCCAACAGAGCAGATGTCACAGGCAAATTGCTGGATAAAGTGTATGAAAGAGAAATTGAGCAGTGTGCACAAGGTCTAGATGGGTGGAGCAATATCCACAATGATCTTGTTGTATGTGCTTGTGTGACAACAGAATAAGGGGATGTCTTCCTTACAGAAACAGTTGATACATCAGGAAATGCACACACAGCAGAATACTTACTAGAAGTAGCAGTAAAAGCTATAACAAACTGAAAAAAAAATTCAAATATCTAGTATGCAGCTTGGTCACAGACAATGCTGCAAATGTATCCAAGATGAGAAGAAATTATTTAGAAGAGAGTCTCAAGCTAATAACATTCGGTTTCAGTGCTCATTTGATGCACCTCCTAACCAAAGACTTCAGTGTTCCAGAAAGAAAGGCTAATGTTGTTGAAATTGCACAATACTTCTGTAACAACCACTTTGCAGCAGCTGCTCTGAAAAAAGTGGGAGGAACCAAGCTAACTCTTCCACAAGACGTGCGATGGAACTCAGTAGTGGACTGTTTTGAGCACTATATCAAGAACTGGCCAAATCTGATGACAGTTTGTGAACAAAATGGTGAAAAAAATAGATGGCACTGTCATAGTCAAAGTTCTCAACATTGGGCTTAAGAGAAATGTTGAACACATGCTGAGTACCCTGAAAACTATTTCTGTAGCCTTGAACAAAATGCAGGGAAATAGCTGTTTTATTGCTGACGCTGTTGAAATTTGGAAGGAACTTAGTGAGATCTTAAAAAGAGAAATATGCAATGACAGAGTTAAATTACAAGCATTAAAAAAATGAATGGGACAAGCACTATCTCCAGCTTATTTTCTTGCAAATATTCTCAATACTCAGTACCAGGGTCAAACCTTAACTGCTAAGAGGAGTTAGCGGCTATGGACATCCAGCAATCATCCCTCCATAATACCAACTATAATAAACTTCAGAGTTAAGGGTGAACCATTCAAGAAATATGTTTGCTGATGATGTTTTAAAGAAAATCACACCAGTGAACCATATTCAGAGACTGTTGAAGTGATAATTTCACATTTAACAGCAGTAGCTTCTTCTGCCGGTGTAGAAAGAATATTTTCTTCCTTTGGACTAATTCATTCCAAATTCGAGAAATTGTTTGGGACCTGAAAAAGCACAAAAGCTTGTTTTTCTTTTCCAGATTATGAACAAACAGGAAATGAAGGTGAAGACTACTGAGTTAGTTGCAGAAGCCAATATTTTAAGTTTCTCATGTTGACCTGGCTGACATAGTCGATTTAATTTTTTTTGTTTTTTAAAACATTTCAATTAACTGTTTTAGTTAAAAGCAATTTTAACAAAAAC